TTTCCCTCCCCCTCTCTGGCTGCTCTATCCAGGATACCTCTTAACTGGTCACACTGCCCTCTACTCGCAACTCTACCAGGAACTTCTGCACACAGCCTCAAAAGTTTTTCTAAAACCAAACCTGGCCAGGTGCAGAGGCTCCCACCTGTGGGTCCAGCTACTCAGGAGTCTGAGGTGGGAGGATTCCTTGAGCCCGGGAGTTCTGGGCTGTAGTACACTATGCCGATGGGGTCAGTATGGTCCAGGGAGTGTGGAGTACCACAGTTTCCGACATATCAAGGAGGCAGAGGTATAGTAAAGCGATGCTCAGTCAGAACAACTAGAAACATGTATCAAATACTCCCATATGCTGAGTACACAAATATAGATTCAGTTATCCCATGAATATAGACCACTCACCTCCAACCTCCAAGCCTGGGCAACTGGCAAGTACCTTATTTCAAATGTGATCCATGATATACTAGTTTGTAAATGTAAATTTTTCATATAAGATGTGGAGCGGTCAAATGCGAGTGCACAGATGTCTCGCGGTGTCTCTGTCACACCTGCATTCTTCTCGGGACACTTTCTTTCTTTACGACGCGAACGACTATCACAAGCAGTTTTATTTTCTGCGGGAAAGCTCCTCCAAGACCTACTATTCTGCAGTACGCTGGGACTTACCTCAAGATATGCTTGCACGCCAGAGTATCAGCGACCTGGCAAATTTTCTTTCTTCTTTTTTCTTTTTTTTTTTTTGAGACGGCGAGTCTCACTGTCGCCAGGCTAGGTACCAATGGCGCAATGATCTCGCTCTTCACTGCACCTCTGCATCCCAGGTACTAGAGCACTTCTCCTGCCTCTGCCTGCCTCCCAAGTAGCTGGGATTACAGGCGTGTGCCACCAGGCCGGGCTAATTTTTTGTATTTTTAGTAGAGACGCGGTTTCACCATGTTGGCCAGGCTGGTCTCAAGCTCCTGACCTCAGATGATCTGCCCGCCTCAGCCTCCCAAAGTGCTGGGATTACAGGCATGAGCCACTGTGCCCAGCCTGAGGTTCTTTTTATTTTTATTTTTTTGAGACGAGTCTCATTCACTCTGTCACCTGGACTGGAGTGCAGTGGCAAGATCTCGGCTCACTGCAACCTCTGTCTCCTGGGTTCAAGCGATTCTCCTGCCTCAGCCTCCCAAGTAGTTGGGACTACAGGCATGAGCCCGGCTAATTTTTTTTTTTTTTTTTTAGACTGAGTCTTGCTTTGTCGCCCAGGTTGGCACGATCTCAGCTTACTACAACCTCCGCCTCCTGGGTTCAAGCAATTCTCCTGCCTCAGCCTCCTGAATAGCTGGGACTACAGGTGCCCACCACCACGCCCAGCTAATTTTTGTATTTTTAGTAGAGATGGGGTTTCACCATGTTGGCCAGGCTGGTCTCGAACTCCTGACCTTGTGATCCTCCTGCCTCGGCCTCCCAAAGTGCTAGGATTACAGGCGTGAGCCACTGTGCCTGGCCAAGCCCAGCTAATTTTTGTATTTTTAGTAGAGACGGGGTTTCACCATGTTGGCTAGGCTGGTCTTGAACTCCTGGCCTCAGGTGATCTGCCCACCTTGGCCTCCCAAAGTGCTGGGATTACAGGCGTGAGCCACTGCTCATGGCCACTGCCTAAGCACCACCGAGCCTGAGGAACTGCAGTTTCGGCTTCCATTGTCTCATAATGAAGGTCCTTTTCTCTTTGAAGGAAGTATGAGATGCCCACAGGGGACACATCCAGCCTAAGGTAAGCCTGCCAGGGGCTCCCCCATCACCTGTCCTCAGCTTTCAGCAGCCAGACAGCCACCTGCCTCTGTTTCTGCCACCCTGCAACCCCAAAGAAGGCCCTGCTGTCTTGGCTGGCTGAGCTGGGTACTGTTCTGGGAAGGAGCTGCCCCCCTTTTCCTTCAAATCTTGCCCCCTGGGTGGCTGTTTGATTCCACGCAGCTCTGAGTGGGGACTGACCAGGGGCTGAGAGGTGAACAGGCACTGGCCTAGGAGCTGGGAACCCTGGGACTAAGGCCCAGCGTGGTCCCTTTCCTGACTGTGTGTCCTCGGGCAAGTCATTTGACCTGAGTCTGTCTAGAATGGATTTGTTCCTATGGCAAGTAGCTGTGGGGTGGGCTACGAAGGTTAAATCATGCAGGAGGGAGGCAGAAGGGGGTGTTAGTCCTGCTGGTGTCTTCCGTGCAGGGTCAGGGACATAAAGGAAGGTGGAGCCTATGCAGTGTTGGTGACCATTCTTCCTCTCTCCCACAAAGGGGATGGGCTGGGTGTTTGAAGCCTCGGAGCTGGTACCCAGCTCCCCTCTCCCCTGGCTGGGACAGAACGGGGAGGAACCATCAGGATCTGTGTGCAGACAGGGGTGGGGGTGGGCCTGGGGGGTTGGACTTTCAAAAGATGTCGCTATCTCCCACCCAGGTATGATTTTTGCAACAGTGAGGATGGAGAGCAGGTGCAGGGGTTTGAGGCTGAGGAAGGGTTGATGCTGGCAGCAGATATTATGCCGGGGGAAGATTTCACGCCTGCAGAGAAGTTGGTGCCCGAGGAGGAGCTGGGGACTGCCGAAAAGGTGCCGGCTGAGGAAGGGGTGATGGAAGAGGCAGAGCTGGTGTCGGAGGAGACTGAGGGCTGGGAGGAGGTGGAACCGGAGCTGGATGAGGCAACGCGGATGAACATGGTGACGTCAGCCCTGCAGGCCAGTGGCTTGGGCCCTTCACACCTGGACATGAAGTATATCCTCCAGCAGCAGGCCAACTGGCAGGATGCCCATTACAGGCGGCAGCTGAGGCGAAAGATGTTCCAGAAAGGTGAGTGCTCCCACGGGGACCTCCCTGCCACCAGCCGGACAAGCTGCAGATCCTCGTGCCGATGAAAAGAGAGGGTGGATAAGCTCCCCAAGTGCTCACCTACCCCAGCCTGGCCCTACCCGGCGTGCTGATTTGCATGGACTTTGCATATCGTTTGCATAGGCATATCCAATCCCCTTCAGTGGGAACTGTAGAGCCAGTGCTCATTTATGTGGCATTTGCTTAGGATTTCAGATCTCTATCCACTTTTCTCCTGGGGGCTGGGCTGGGGGTCAGGACTGGGATTGTGCCCCCACACTGCGCCTCAGCTTCCCGTCTCCGCCTGCCTGCTTCCCCTGTCCCCTACCCCTGCCTCCTCTGTCCCCCAGGCTCTCCAACCCTGCAGCAGTGGCAGCAGCAGTCAAAACAAGCACGGGGGTGGGATTGTGGAGCTGCCCAGGGGCTGACCCAGGCTGGAGGACAGGCCCAGCTACCGTCCCAGGGCCTGGGAGGAAGAGGGGCCTTCTGGGGCTGCCCAGGCTACGGGGACAAAGGCCTCCACCAGCAAGGGCCACAGTTGGACCAGTCCCCTGGGTGAGTCGGAAGGTGGGCTAGGGCCTCCTGCAGGGTTGGGAGGTGGAACAGGGTCTCCTCTCCCCAGCCAGAGAAACCCCAAAGTCTGGGAGCTGCACCTGCTGAGTGCAGGCCTTGTGAGCCCTGCCTCTTTAAGGAGTCGCGGGACATGAAAGATGACTTCGTGACACTCATACACAGCAGCCATTGCACATGCGTCAGCTCCCATCAGCCTCACTCCCTGTGGCAGGCGATGTGTCCCCATTGGTTAGGTGAGGAGGGTGAGGTTCAGAGAGCTAAGGACACTTGTTCGGGGCCACACGGTGAGGGGTAGATCTGAGCCTGTCCTCTCCACTCCTGTGCTGTAGCACCTTCACTGGCCCATCCCTCCCCTCTAGTACTGTCCTAGGTACTGTCCTAGTACTGTCCTGGTACCCGCTCCGGCCTGTCCCCATTCTCATGGCCCTTGGTCACTGCAGGGTGGAATAGCAGTAGCCTCAGCAGGCCTGTCATGTCAGCTTGTGCAGATTATAAACTGAACCATGACCTTTATGGCACATGCAGGGGATAACCTGCATAATTATCAATGGCGACTTTCTGTGTCTTTGATACAGTTGTCCAGACCCCTGCCCACCGCCCAGGCCAGGCCTATGGTCTTCAATGCCCTGGTTCACATCCACCTGCTTCTCTTCCAGGCTTTGCTGTTCCCCAGCAGCCTGCAGAGGCCCCCCAGACAGCTTGAGGCCCTTCCTTCTGCCTGGCCAAGCCCACACCCCCAGACCCTCCTTCCCATCCTCTGAAATGGGACCCTGTGTCTGTCACCAGCCCATCCTCTGTGTTCATGAACCTGGGCTGGAGTTTGGGGACCTGGGCCTCCACCCTCTTCAGGGACAGGCGGTAGGAACCCTGGCTGTTGCTCTGTAGCTGGTACAAAAGCTGTGGCTGCCAGGCTTGGGTCACATGGCAGCCCAGGGGGGGCCCACTGGCTACCAGACCCAGCCCTGAGTGGGGAATGGCCCAGCTTCCACAGGTAGGGAGTTGTGAGGCCCCTCACCCCTTGATGCCCAGGCTAGCGGTGGCCACCCCGGTTCTTGTTGACTTGAGGGACCTGGCCATCTTCCCCGTTCTTCATCCTTCTCGGTCCCTACTTACTGTTTGTAACCACAAGTGTCTCTATGTGTGGGTGGGTGAGGGCCCCTCTGCCCAGTGGTGTGTCTCCTCTCCCTCCCTCCCCTCCCTCTTCTGCCAGTGGCCTGGGGGTGTCCAGGCTCCCACCCATGGCCCAGCCCCCCTCCCCTCCCTGTTGATTCCCCGCTCCCTGCCCCTGGCTTCCTCTTCCATGTTCCACCCTCTCCCACACCTTTGTTCCTCAATAGCTGGGGGCTGGGACTCAGGCCTCCTGCGGGTGCCTGCCCCGCTCCACGCGGCGCCTCTCAGCCTCCTATTGCTTGTCAGCCTGTGCGCAAGCGGTGCAGGAAATAAAGGATGTGTGCGCTCCTGGCCCAGCCTCCAGCCGTCTCTAGGGAGTGTGTGTGTGCACGTGTATGTGTGTAGGCATGTGCGTGTACACTTGGCAGGGGAAGTTGTGGAGAAGGGGTGGATGCTGATATTGAAGAATGTGCCAAGGACTCATTAAATATGCCGTTTAATCATAGCAGCAGCTCCTGCAGGGCAGTGGGTGGTAAGTGTCTGTCAGATGGAGAAACTCAGGCCAGAGTAGGTTAAGTGATGCTCTCACCAGCAGATCGTGGCTGGTGTAGAGCTGGGATTTGAGCTCATGTTTCCCTGATCCTTTCACCCCAGAGACTCTGACTCAGCGTCCTGGCTGTGAAAGATAGGATGGAAGTGAGTCACCCACTGTCTTAGGGTGAAGTCCCCAGAGCAGATCTGGAACAGGGTTTAGGAACAAGTACAGTCGCCCTCCATGTCCTCGGGCTCTGCGTCTGTGGACTCAACCAACCACAGATAGAAAATATTTGGGGGAGGCTGGGTGCCGTGGCTCACGCTTGTGTTCCTAGCACTTTGGGAGGCTGAGGTGGGTGGATCACTTGAGGTCAGGAGTTTGAGACCAGCCTGGCCAACACGGTGAAACCCCGCCTCCACTAAAAATACAAAAATTAGCTGGGTGTGGTGGTGCATGTCTGTAATCCCAGCTACTTGGGAGGCTGGAGGCAGGAGGATCACTTGAACCCAGAGGCAGAGGTTGCAGTGACCAGAGATCATGACACTGCCCCAGCCTGGGCAACAACAGAGCAAGGACTCCATCTCAAAAAACAAAATCCTAGAGAGGGCCAGGTGTGGTGGCTCATTCTGTATCCCAGCACTTTGGGAGGCTGAGGTGGGGCGGATCATTTGAGGAGTTTCGAGACCAGCCTGGCCAACATGGTGAAACTCCGTCTCTTACTTAAAAATACAAAAAAAAAAAAAAAAAAAAAATAGCCGGGCAAGTTGGCGGGCCCCTGTAATCCCAGGCTACTTGGGAGGTTGAGGTGAGAGGATCACTTGAGCCTGGGAGGCAGAGGTTGCAGTGAGCTGAGGTTGCACCACTGCACTCCAACCCTGGTGACAGAGTAAGACCCTGCCTCAAAAAAAAAAAAAAAAAAAAAATGGCAGACAAACCAGACATGGGGTTGAATTGACAGCTTTGATAAAGCCAAGTAAAAGGAAACGGAGATGCAGGAGAACACCTTGCGGACCAGAGACCGCTGAGCAGGAGAAGCAGTGAAATTTCCTAAAATCTGGAGGATTCCCTGCCCCTATTATCTTCAAGCCCCCAGTGGTGATGTGGAAGAAAAGCCACCTGCAAGGTATACACAAGCCACAAGCTGCTCTGTGAACCTGGGCACCTTGCACCGATGCCACTGGCCTGTGGGTCTCTGAGGGGACCCCCAAATGGGACTGCCAAATTATCTGGTTTGCTCCAGGATATTATAGAAAATTATTTATATGAATAATAAAAATAAAACACACTTTGTGGCCCCCTGCCGAAAGAATATCATTGAGAAGGTTATTGCTGTGGCTAACTGGGTCTCAGTCCTGCTGGGAACTCTGGGGGACGGTAGAATATCTCTCAGAGTAGGCCAGGCACGGTGGCTCACACCTGTAATCCCAGCACATTGGGAGGCCAAGGTGGGTGGATCACCTGAGGTCAGGAGTTCGAGACCAGCCTGACCAATATGGAGAAATCCTGTCTCTACTAAAAATACAAAATTAGCTGGATGTGGTGGCACATATCCCTGTAATCCCAGCTACTTGGGAGCCTGAGGCAGGAGAATCGCTTGAACCCAGGAGGCGAAGGTTGTGGTGAGCAGAGATTGCACCGTTGCACTCCAGCTTGGGCAACAAGAGTGAAACTCTGTTTCAAGGAAAAAAAAATATAAATATATAAATATAAATTTGGTATATATATATATACCAGAGTTATCCCACCCCTCGAGTGGGGGAGTTAGAGTATTTATCCTCTAACTGTCATCTGACACTGAGAGATGCTTCTGGAGGTATTTAACTGCCCTGCACTTGGTCCTGAAGGAAACTAGAATATGTTACCTCCAAATATGCCACTTTGGCATAAGGACTATTTTGAACTGAAGGAAATTGAGAAGAAGCAGATACAAGAAAAGCTCCCTGCCCTCCTATTTGCATAAAAACAGGACATACATTTTCAATAGTGTCCATCAACCAGGAAGGATAAAAGTTAAATCTCCAGGCTGGGCACAGTGGCTCATGCCTGTAATCCTAAGACTTTGGGAGGCTGAGGTGGGCGGATCTCCTGAGGTCGGGAGTTTGAGACCAGCCTGACTAATATGGAGAAACTGTCTCTACTAAAAATACAAAATTAGCCAGTCGTGGTGGCACACGCCTGTAATTCCAGCTACACGGGAGGCTGAGGCAAGAAAATTGCTTGTACCTGGGAGGTGGAGGTTGCAGTGAGCTGAGATTGCCCCATTGCACTCCAGCCTGGGCAATAAGAGTGAAACCCCATCTCAAAAAAAAAAAAAAAAAGGATTAATCTCTGAGAGCAACTTTACTTTTTTGGTTTTCGCATAATTTGGCACTTATGTTATCATGAATACTCAATAAAAGTTTGATTTTTGCGAATGCATGTACCAGATCCCACTTTTTGATAGTAGTCTGCAACCAATCGTTCGATCGTGCTTTATTTACTAAATACTGGCAACCTCCAAATTGCCCTTTTTCTTTTTTTTTTTTTTTTGACAGGTCCTCAGCCCGTGCTTTTGCCGCAGGCCTGGAGTGGCAGATGGCGTGATCTCCAGCTCCACTGCCAACGCT